CCTTTCATGGTAATTGTTCAGGTAAGCTCTTCGCTAGGGTAGCTAGAATTTATGAATTTAAGCGCAATACTAGACAGGATTTGAGCTCGATAGATGCAGCCGTAACTTCTATGCTGACACTTTCTTTTCTCGAACGTGTCGCGTGTCGAACTCCATGCTTTCCAGCCACCTTTAATCTGCAAAAATTTAAATAGAGTTTAATTCGTTACCTCTTCGTCACCGAGGCCCGTTGGTATGGCGTTTGCCTCCTATCGTAACTGTTCGGGTTTCAATTCTCGGTAGTGGATGCGCACTTCTGATGAGTCCCAAGTGTTTTCTGCATTCTGTTGAGGTTTCTTCTAGACTCGATGAATTACCTTATTATGATTATTCCTAGCTATTTCTATCTGTATATCCTTGTTTAAACTGGCTTGGGCACTGAATTCGTAGCTCGTGGAGACAGTCGTATGGGTAAAGAGAAAGTCGGATGAGTTCCACCACGGAATATGTGGACGAGCGGCGCTATATTGAGTCTAATATTACCTCTTTTTCGCCGAGAGCCATTGGTACAGTGGGTATGGCGTTTGCTTATTATCGTAACTGTTCCGGTTTCAATTTTCGATAGTGGATGCGCACTGCTGATGAGTCCCAAATATAAAACGAAACGGCTTTCTGCATTCTGTTGAGGTTTCTTCTAGACTCGATGAAATAGTTAATTATGAAAAATTTAAATGCAATGTCAATCGTTATCTACTTTTCTTATTTTTTTTTTTTTGTTGTTCCTGCTCATTAGTAATGTTTCTGAGTTTTAATTCTTCCATGTCCAGTAACCTCTTGTGTCTCCGTGTTCTCGGTTAAAATATATATCTTGTGGCCATCCTATGGTTATCGCCTCAGTTACGCACAAGACCCTCTTCACCGCCCAGTTATGGATTCAATAATAGAACGGACTGGGTTCTTCAGCCTTGGTTGGTAACCAGTCTAAGAGAAGGAAAACTCTGAATTAAAAACTGGTTAGGTATGGGCCTAGTTTATACACCGGGGTTGAATAAGACTGATATACTTCACGTAGATTGAAATAGATCAACCCCCACCATATGATGTAATTATGCATTTTGTTCTGTAATTTATATGCTCTGTTATAATGAATACATTGAGTTCTTTTTGTGGATCAGGTTTAACATTTGATACTAGAAGGCTTCGCCCGCTCGCTATCGTTTCGCAAAGTAAAATATATTCACTACTTGAAATCTTCGAAATAAAAATTTGAAATGAACATTTTATTAATAAATTGGCTTGCTATAGTTAAGGAAAGTTTTACAAATAGATACCAACTTGTTTAAGGCCAAGTAAAATGCAAATTTCAAACATTTCTTCTGTACGATATAAGACGATATTCCTAAACAGCACTATTTTTTATATGAAAACAAAACAACCATCGTATAAAAGAACAGTAATAAAGAACAGCTAGTTAATGAATTAAACTTTTTAAAAATCTATATGCAAATTATTTAAGCCTGAATAATGTTATTGCCTAGAAGTAGATGATATATAAGACACATATTGAGTATCTGGTTCGTAAATTACTATAAAGTACGGTTGTGGCTTTTAATCTCAAAATTCGTCGGAGGATTGACCTACAATTACGCATTTATTTATATAGATTCCATAATATAGGTATTACTTATTATGTTCCTCTAACTCTACATCTCTTGAATGTATAACTAAATCCAATTTCTATTTTCCCATCTTTACACTATGTTAATTTTATCTTATAAATTGTCCCCTGTTCTGTCATCCATGAAATGAAAATAATTGTTTGTACGAAAAATAAGAATCAACGTACATCAAATCTTTTTTAAATTAAGTTGCAGCAGAAAACATTTCGTTAACCTTTGAAAAGTTAAGCTTTAAACATTAATTCAATACTTAAATGCAGCGATCAATTTTGAGTTTTTTCTGCTGTTTATTGATGCCTATCGCATCTACTCCTCCCTAACTTTTATGATGATGACCAAACCATGGGTCCGCCACAGGAGGTAGCTTAAATGCCGCATAATAGGGCAATTTTTAGGCTAGTTTATAATAAAACGTGCACTGCAATTTTGGATACAAAGGGAAAATAAGAGTTACACCCTTAGAACCATGAAAGCTACGATAATGGCTAGTATAATATATTAATATATATATTTACCCTTGCATAATCTGGCAACCCTGAATCTGAGTTCAACGAAAATCGGTCCCTGCGCCTAACATTTGTAGGGCTTTTGAATGAGCTATGAATCATTGAAATCGACCACTGAGAGCAGAAGAGTTGCTTGGATGCTCACACAGATAAACACAGGCATATACATTGTACTTCATATATTATGTTACTAGGATCCATTTGGATTATGCGCCAACGGATATAATACCTGCACTATTCTCTCTGTATATATATATATATATATGTACTGTTTAGGAATATCGTCTTATATCGTACAGAAGAAATATATATATATATATATATATATATATATATATATTTCTTCAACTATATATTTCTGCAACTGCATATATATATATATATATATATATATATATATATATATATATATATATATATATGCAGTTGCATACCTAGAGGCAACCAGATGTCTAGCCACACTGATGAGCTGTGAAACAGCGTAACAGTCTGTCTGTGGATGACGTTATATTGGCTCCTGAAATATCAGTTTCAGTTGAGCTCTCTGGAGACGAGGTGTGGGTTGGTAAACAGTGACTATTATAGCTATAGAGCGAGACTCTTCGCAGATGCGAATTGAGTCACTGTCAGTCACTATCTAAAAATAAATACGCTAAAAAATCCGCTTTCATTTCTTCCGTGCACCGACGGCTTAATGGTTAGAATCTCCGACTGACACCAATTCAGTCGGGTTTCGATCCTAGCTAGAGGCAACCGGATGTCTATCCACACTGATGAGCTGCGAAACAGTCTGTCTGTGGATGACGTTATATATATATATATATATATATATATATATATAGTCCCCTCCAAATGCATTGAAACACCAAACTTAGTCACTGAAGATATTTGGGTTTAATATCACAAGATGAACATAAGAAAAGAGTTCAGAAGTTCAGTTATTATTTACTGGTATTTACATTTACATGTGTTAAACAACTTAGAACATATCACCTTTTGTTTGAACCCATCCATTTTTCACGTGAGCAAAATTACTGGAACATCTGACTGTTACTTGAGTTACTTCTTGATTGATTGTTTAAACATTAAATATTTCTGGATGACTACTGTTGGCTTTATACTTGGATTTCACCTGTAAATCCTGCATATCTTGTTAAAAAGGATAAACCAACATGAAGATAAGAAAACTGTCTATGGGAGAAACGCGTCATTTTGAAGCTAAGAAAAACACGAAAATCGATCAGAGTAATTGGCCAAACATTGTACATAGCCTACACAATAATTTGGAATGTCCTGAAAAAATACTGGTTGTACTGAGCAATAGGGAGAGAACGGTTCGGACAAGGAGAAAAGAAAGCATCTGCTTATTATCCAGAGCATACAAGCTCATCTGTATGTTGAAGGCAGTGTTATGTCCTGGGCTTTCATTGCTGCCTCTGGCTGGAACGAACTCATTCATATTTATTAATGATGTAACTCGTGATGGTAGCAACAGAACTGATTCAGAAGTCTACATTTTGTCTGCCATTTTACAGAAAAATGTATTAAAACTAATTGGGCGGATGTTTATCATGCAGCAGAACAATGATCTAAAACATAAAGCCAACACAACAAAAAAAAGTGGACAGTTTTGAAGTGGCCGAGTCAATCTCCGGGCCATAAATCAATAAAGCATTCATTTCATTTCCTGAAGAGACGACCGAAGGAAGAATAAATAGATATAAGAACTGAAAAGAGGTTGTGTTGAAAGTCAAGAAAAGAATCACAAATGAAGAATTCCAAAGTTTGGTGATGTCAATGGATTGCAGACTTGATGTTATGCAATCAAATGTTATGCAATCAAATATCAAATGTTATTTACTTTAAGACAATCCCTTCCTTGAAGGTATAGGGTGCAGGTTCGATTCCTGTCGAAGGGTGAATATTTTCTGTGAAAATTTCTTGGACATTCAAGCCGGTAAATGTTGTTTAATACAAGGATCCGGTAAATGTTGTTTAATTCTGTTTATCATAAAAAAAGAGCATTTGCTTAAATATTTGTATCTATGAACAGAATGTATAAACATAAAAATGTCTTTATATATATATATATATATATATATATATATATATATGTCATGGCTAAGAAGGTTGATTCACTTTCTCGTGAGAGACATTTTTTCTCACCATAATCTATCCTACATGTCTATATGTCTACCATTCGTCCATGCTTAGAATATTGCTGCCACACATCGTTCTGTCCTCGTATTTACCTTAAGCTCCTTGGTAAAATCCAGTGAAGAGTTAGCAATATTATCGGTTCTGATCTGGCATCTCGGCTTCTGTCACTTTCCACACCCCAGTAAGGTTGCCGCCCTGTGTCATTTCTATAAATCCTTTCATGGTAATTGTTCAGGTAAGCTCTTCGCTAGGGTAGCTAGAACTTATGAATGTAAGTGCAATACTAGACAGGATTTGAGCTCGATATATATATATATATATATATATATATATATATATATATATATATATATGTGTGTGTATGATGAGAGTGAGATAGAGTGAGAGTAAGAATTATAGATAGAGAGACATACCGATACAATTGTTACAGCATTGGAATCTTTTCTAGTTGCCATGATTTTACTGATTTTATTGTTACGTTTCAAGAAATTCATTATTTTTTTATCATTTTTTTTTCTCAGTTCTTTATTTTCTGAACTTATCTTCCATCTACTCAGCAGATAAATTCCACGCTTTCTTACTTCTCTCCACATTCGTACATTCTCTGATATGATTATACAGCCAAGTTATCGGCACGTGGTCCGATCCATCAACGTCAAAGTTAACTGAATGTCACATGACTCAACAGTTACTGCACCTGCGCACTGACACAAACCCCATTCTTAGCCGACACAAACGAAACTTGCGCCAGCAGCAATGTCACCCTCACCTATATATTTTCATACAATATTGTTTACCGCCATTTGATTTTTTTTTCTTTCTAGCATTTTGTTTCTTTTTCACCTTTTCTTCGTTTTTGAAACGTGATATTTATATATTTTTGTTTTCTCTTTTTTATTCATCTTTTTTTTATTTTGCTCTTCCTTTCATCTTTTTCACTTTCAAAGATTTTTTTATTAAAGCCATTTTCTCATTTTCTTTGTTCTTTTCACTTTCACCTTTCTTTTTTTATATCCCTTCTTTATTTTTCTCCTTTTCTTTTTTTTTTTTTTGTTTCTTTTTCGTTAAGATCTTTGCTATCATTTTTTTTTTCGTTATTCATATTTCCTCTGTTTCTTTTTTCGTATATCTGTCATTTCTTTGTTTTCTTTCTTCGTTACCTTTTCTTTTCACCCTTTTTTATCATATCTCTTTCTTTATCATTTTTCCTTTTTTTTTCTCTTTTTTTTCTCTGTTTAAAGTCTTTTTTTTTTCTTCTTTCTGTCCTCTTTGTTTTTTTTTTCAACATCACTTTGTCTTTTTCATTTCTTTCTTCTCGTCTTTATCTGCTTTTTCTCACTTTTCGTTGTTAATATCTCATTCTTGGTCTTCATCTTTTTTCCTCTTTTTAATTATTCGTAGATTTCTTTCTATTTTCTTTCCTGTTTTGCTTTATTCTAATCTCTTTCAATCTTTCCTTTTTTCTTCTCTGTTCAAATCTCTTTATTTTCCTCATTTTTGTTCTTTTTTTTTCATCTTTTCCGTTTCTTCTCATCTCTCCCATTTGCACTCTCAGCTGCCTTTCTTTAACCCCTCTTTAGACTTTCTTCTTATCTCTCTCTGTTCATATCCTTGTCCTCTAACTACCCTATTCCTTCGCCTCCTGCTCCCTGTTTTTTAGTTTCACCTGCCATATCAACACACATTTCTTTCTCCCTTTCCCTTTCCAGGTTGTCTTCTTTATTCTTCCATCTCCGTCACATGACGCTTTTTATTTTATCCGCTGTCCGCCGCTTTTTTATATTTTCATCTCATTTTCATCTCTGTTACTTTCGTGTCTTTTGTCAAAGTTACAAAAAAGAATCATAGAATAAAGAAAAAAAAATAATAAAATAAACGTCTAACTTGGCAATGTCCGGACTTTAAAAACGGACTTTTTTCTTACTTTTTTTTTCTTTCTCTCTTCAAACTGATTTATTTATTTCGTTTCGACAGGATCCATTATACACATTTGAACGATCTTCTAACCCCGAGTTTGTTTTCATATTTATATCCACTTATTAAGTATATTTCTTTGTTAGGATGCTTTGGATGTTTTGTTATTTTTTTGGCGGGGGTTGGTTTTTTTGTGTGTGATTTTTTTAAAAAAAGATTTTTGGTTATTTACGTTTTTATGGGGTCGGCTTTTTTTCGAGGTTCTTTTCCCCACCTTTTATACTGATGCACGTCACTTGACGTAATGAGTCTGCTTAGTTTGGTGGGCTCCCTCTTGCAACGTCAATTCCAAGGCGGACGGGCATGCATTGAAGAGACCATGATCCCCATCAAGTTTAGAAGCATTATCTATCTATCTATCTATCTATCTATCTATCTATCTATCTATCTATCTATCTCAACTCGTTCATTATCTATGTTCAATTCTAATGTGACCATATCTATCTATCTATCTATCTATCTATCTATCTATCTATTTATCTATCTATCTATCTATCTCGCCTCGTTCATTATCTATGTTCAAATCTAGTTTGACCATATCTATCTATCTATCTATCTCGGCTTGTTCATTATCTATGTTCAACTTTAGTGTGACCATATCTATCTATCTATCTATCTATCTATCTATCTATCTATCTATCTATCTATCTATCTATCTAGTCTTCTGAGTGACTGGTGTGTTAATAAAAAATAAATACGCAAAAATTCGCCTTTCTCTCTGCCGGGCATAGATGGCCTACGAGTTAGAATCTCTGACTGATACCAAATTGGTCAGGTTTCGGTCTCTGAAGCGATCGGATGTCTAGCCACACTGAGAAGCTGTGATTAGGCGAAACAGTCTGTCAGTGGATGACTACACACACACATATATGTATATATATATATATATGCATGTTCATTTTCTATTTATCAAATCTAGTATGTCTAAATTTCTCTCTCTCCCTCTCTCTCTCTCTATATATATATAGATTGTATGTATATATATATATATATATATACACATACAATCTTGTGTTTCCATATCTATCAATCACACTCTTTATATGTAGCGATATCAGTTTCATTATCCCTCTATTTATATAAATTTAATGAGATCTTTTCCATTCTGTTTCTCTCTTTCTCATTCATATATATATATATATATATATATATATATATATATATATATACCCTACCCTTGTCTCTTTTCACTCTATTCGACCCGTGAGTATCAGATTCTCCAGGCCCTCATTCCTCATAATGTGTCTGTCTCTTCCCCATATTAAGTATAAGCCTCCTCCTTATTTGCAATCTTTCTAAGTTCTCATCGTTGCTCACACGCTCGGTCCATGATATCCTTAGCATCCTCCTGTAGAATCACATCTCTGTCGCCGCGATTCTCTTCTTCCTCTTTGAGTAAATAGTCCAACGTTCGTTGTCACGTAACATTTCAGTATTCTTTTCTTTGTTGCCAAAAATATCCTCCTTATCCGTAAATGGTAATGAAGCGGTATCGCTGAAACCATATACGAATCAGTTTTTACGTTCTTTGGTTGTTTTGTTTTATGGCATATCAAAACCTCAGTGGGTCATTTAATGCCATCAAAATTTCTGAAATGGATACATAGCGATAGTTTGGTAAAAAAAAGGTGTGTATGTATACATATATATTTGAACCATTTTTCAAATACTTATATTTTTAAGTACAATCACATGTATTGCTGATAATAGTTTTCTTTTGTTTTTTTTTCAAAAATTAATTTCTGGTAAAAAATTTTTTCAAAATATTTCTGGTATTAAAACCTATTTTTACTCTTTTATAATGCTTTTTAACTCTTTTTCAGTGTTAACCATTTTCCCATAGATGGGACCCTAACAGGTGCTACCACCCCGGGTCCGAGTGGACCTGGGGACACCAGCTATTAAGAGGTGGTTCTACGCTCCTCAAAACCTCCTTATCAGAAGCCTAGCTATTGGACGTAGTTTATTGTCTTACCCTGGACGCGGATGTGGTTTATCGTCATAACCGGGACGCCCCATTGGGGGGGGGGGTCTTATTCCTCTGCATAGGTGCAGTCAGCTTATTCTACAGCCCCAGCCGACAGGGCAGAAGTTTTCATATTTGCTGCACAGGACCACTCCTTGATAACGCGAAATTACCAAGTAAACATTCTAAAAAATTGTGTTAACCCAAAATGCAGATTTTATGATGAATATCCGGAAACAATTGACCATCTTCTTTCAGGTTACACGGTATTGGCATCCATTGAATATAAAACACGGAATGACAGATATTGGATCTATAATGGAAAATCTACAACTTATAGGGAAACTGCAAGAAATTGGTATAAAACCCACCCGGACCTGTCTACAGACATAAAACCTTTAACAATTTTATGGGATTTTACAATAGATACAGACAGACTCTGTGATCAAAGACCACAGAATCTGAATATGCATTCTTACAAACATGGCAATTTCTACAGGCTGTAATATATCTGTGAAGATCTTCAGAAAGCTATCAAAATACAAGGATCTTGAGGTGGGAATCTAAAAAATGTGGTATATGAAAACATTAATATACCAGTTGTGGTTGGGGTCCTCGGATTGAAGGGAAAAAGGTTCTAATAGACTCATCGAAAGGATGCCTGGCAGCTGAGGACTTAAAAAAAATACAAACACATGTTAACACAAGTACAGTTCACAACTAACGAAAGGATTTATCAATATACGAGATCTTGGGTTGTTTCATTTTTTTTTTTAAACGGTCATTGGAAAAAGAAAAACATAATGCCATTTATGACCTTAGGTCTCCAGTTGGGATCCGCATGTAAATGAATATACAACAGAAATTAAAGTAAATAATAATAATAATAATAATAATAATGGTGGTGGTGGTGGTGGATGTGGTGATGGCGACGAATAAAGAAGAAGAAGAAGAAGGAGGAGGAGGAGGAGAACAACAACAACAAGAAGGAGGAGGAGGAGGAGAAGAAGAAGAAGAAGAAGAAGAAGAAGAAGAAGAAGAAGAAGAAGAAGAAGAAGAAATCTGGAGATGAATCTTGAATTCATCGATCTAGCACCCTCGCCTGGAGATCCAGTCTTAATAAGGCAAAGGAACCGTCATCATCACATCAACATCACCGACATTTTCATCAATTCAGGGTTTTGACGGCCCTTGCAGTACCAGCTACCATCCTCACTATTATCCCTTGCCTCAATCTCGTCAATCCTAGCTCCTGCCTGATCCCAGCCCATACATCAAGGCTTTGCACTTCTCGTTGGCATTTTAAGGCAGTCGCCAATTCATCATGGCTTCATTCAGGTCTCTGATGGATATTGGCAACTTGATTCACTGATGTATAGCGCATAATCTAAACAGGTGCAGTAGGAAAAGTAAATGCAACTCCCTTTATGACCCCGAATTTTATTCATTACAGCATTCGCTTCTTTCTTCTTTCTCTCTCTTTATTTTTTTTTATTTGCCGATTTTATTCATTTGTATGTTTGTTTTCACAAATTTCGTTCTTTCCCTTCAACTTTTTCTTTTTACTTTTCTTATATAAGCTATCTTTAAAAGAATTATCCTTTGCATCTTTGCTTTTTACTTTCTGTTATTCGATACAAAAATTTCCTCATTGGTCCTCATATATATATATATGTATAATTATTTATTGGAAAATTATAACATAAATATTTTATAAAATCACTAAAAAATAGCCATTTTGTTTCAACACTCCTGGTGTCTTATCAAGTGATGATGTTGAATTGAACACCATCACTTGATAAGACACCAGAAGTGTTGAAACAAAATGCCTACTTTTATTCCATATAAACCAATTCTGTACTTGGATATATATATATATATGTATATATATATATATATATATATATATATATATATATATATATATATATATATATATATATAACAACTTAAAAGAGACTGTTTGACCAACACAAAGAATGTTAAAAGATTCATGTAAAAAGATAAAAAATAAAAAAAAACAAATGAAAACTACAGGCAAAAGTTCATTTTCTCCAGCAAGATATTCATTTCTGTAGTTTACTGCTACCAGCAAGCAGAAATATTTCTCCTCCCGATGATGGCCATTTTGGTCGAACCAATCGAGGAATCTAAATCGAATAATAATAAAAAAAAAAACGAAAGAATATTAATCTACAACCCAGTGTGTCTAAATATTTTTATTTTTTTATTTTTTTATTGTTCAATATATATATATATATATATATATATATATATATATATATATATACGCATAGCAGTGTAAGATTTTCCATGTAGATTCTTACAGAATGTAGGGCGATGAAAAAATTCGAAAACATAGAACCACAGCAAAACAACAACAACAGCAATAATAAATATTATTATTGTTATTATTATTATTACATTAGAGAAAATAGAAGTATGTCATAAATGTTAAAAATCGGTATTTTCAGATTCATCTGCATACTTTTATCAACGGTTGAGAAAGCACACATAACTTACTCTTTTCAAATTTCTCTTATCAGCCAACTATAATTATATATATATATATATATATATATATATATATATATATATATATATATATGCAGTAAAAATTACCTCATATAGGGAATAAGCTTATTTCGTCTTATTCAACTCCTGTGAACTAAGTTCGTGTCAAAAATATAAATTCAACTGTGAAAGCAAAAAAAAAAAAA